TAGAGCCAGGGTCCTGGGCAAAGGTTGGAACCGTTTTAATGTCTTTCTTACCAAATCCTGAGGACATCTGTGGAGCTGATTTAGTATAGACCATGGAACGGTGATACTTTCCCCCTTACAATTCTGAATCGAGGAGCTTTCTTTTTTTTTACCCCTACAGCGCCTGGTCTTCCTAGGTGGTCTCCCATCCAAGTACTAACCAGGCCCGACCCTGCTTAGCTTCCGCGATCAGACGGCATCAGGCGTGTTCAGGGTAGCATGGCTGTAGACTAGAGGGGCTTTCTAAATCAGAGATTGAACCAGACCTTGCTTGCTTGCTAAGGAAGGTTCAGTCACCAGGAACCGATTAATGTGTGTGGTCTGATTTTCTATACTTTGGGTAGGCCGACATCTTCAGTAGCAAGAGAAATTACCATCCCATAGCTTCCTCTAAGTGGTTTACCTACAGTCCTGCAATACCATCTTGCTTAAGGGGTGTCGGTGTTGTCCAGTGTCTCTGCAGCCAACGGAACTGCCCCAGTCCTCAGAGAGTGCAAAGGTGCCAAGAGTATCAAAATGAAGTGATTACCCCAAAAAGGCAAATTCTTCAAGGAGAATGGAGGGCCCTGGCTGTTTTCTTCCTTGCTGGAAGCTGTGAAAATGTCCTTTGTGAGAACACAGAAGGTTTTCTACTTTATGGGCCATTTAGAGCCTATTACTCTGTGTTTCTAAATTGTGAGTTTTTTAAGCTCACAAAGATTTTGGCATTCTCTCTAAAGTAATTAAACATTTGTCCTTCTTTATTATATTTTTCACCATTTTAGGATACCATTCCATTTAAATTAGTTAAAATGTTTAAAAGCTAAACTTTAATGGGAAAAATGGTTGTAGTCTTTTTTTTTTTCCCACTAATTTATGGCCTGGTGCTACGATTTTCTTCAACTGGTTTTATTTTAACCCTAGGGGGAAAAAGCAGTTACTACAATTGTTTTGTTTCTGTTTCTGTTATTCGACCTTTCAGAATTATTCTAATCCCCAGTATAACTCATGAAGGCAAGTGGTATAGATTTATAATATTTGTAATTACTTTTTGGACTCCTTGATCCCTCAAACTATTACTTCATTATAACTTCACTTCTGAAAGAGAGCTTTTTTTTTTTTTTTGATGCAATAAACATCTTGATAGAATTATAGCATTAGTAAAGATCTTAAATTTTTAATTTAATGTTGATATGAGAACTGGTTATGTGCTTTCCTTCCCCACCCTTCACCCCACCCACTTGTCTATCTGTCTGCCCCCGACTATGGGCACCGACAGAAAATTTCCGGCCTTTATTCACAATGGAACAGCTTACTTAGGCCAAAATATCAGCTACCAGAGTGGTGAGAAGCCACCAATCCAAGAGCCAGGTTCTGATGCAAATTATTTGACCTTTCTGAGACTGTTTCCTCATGTGTAAAATGAGAGATTGGATTAGTTCAGTGAACAGTGTGAGTTCACAAAAGTAGTTATAGGATCGAGAACCATTCAGGCCAATATTTATTGAATATTACTAGTCTGCCTCCTCAGCCCTCGTTCCATTGGGTACTAGCTAGTTCTTGACGTATTAAAAAGCTATTACATGCTTTTTAATACGTCAAGAACTAGCTAGTACCCAATGGAACAAGGGCTGAGGAGGCAGACTAGTAAATGAACACTTTTGATAGATTAATAATATGGTGAGAACTAAATTCGAGAGAAACAAGAGAAGCTATAGCAGCATGGCACGAGCCCACAGTTCTTTTCAGTTCTTCAAAAATCAAATGAAACGCCTACATTTGCCCCAAGACTAAGCTGCCTAACTAAAATACCTACTTTCTTTGTGGTAGCTGGAAAAATGTCAACTTAGTGTGGCAAGATTGGTTCTGTTATAGTAGTTAAAGCCATAACTAGTAATTCTGGCACCTGTGGCAAACAGCATGCGACAAACCCCAAAATCAACTTTTTAATTCATGTTGTGGCTCACAGATGGGTGTTATTACCAGCGTGCGCCATCTGGGAGCTTTCTATTTTAACTACCCGTTCCTGCTAACTAGATGCTGAGCTTTTTAAATCATATTTTAAATTTATGTGACTCTAGACATTCATGACCCAGGATAAAAAGTCCCGGTCATCCTGCCCTCTTGATAGCCCTGATTTTTATTTAAAAGGAGAAAACATATTATTACTGAAAGCAATTTGTTTCACAAACCAACATTTTTCAAACATGAGGTCCGTGAAACAGAAAACAAATAAAGAAGCTTGCTGGTTGAAACTCCATACCCCACTAGCGGGTGGTAAGCATTGAAGGTTCCAGAACTGTGTGTGTTCTCCATGTGCCTGTAGCACTCAGCGCTAGGCACATAGTGGGCACTTGATAAAAATTTAACTGGAAGCGTGCCAGTGGACCAGCCACATTACAGCAATCCTGTTTGGTTGCCAACATCCTTCCAAAAGGCTAGGACAACTCCAGGATGTGTTTGTTGTCAGTTGTGCGGACAGAGCCTTGAGCAGATCGCATGTCCTCATCACGTGTTCCCAAATTCTGTTTTGTGAACTGAAACTTCTACAGACATACCCTTTGGCGCTATCACCCCACGTGAATGGGCCTTGTAATTTTGATCATATCTTCTGATGTGAACGTTTCTTGCTTACTTCTGTCTTTTAATTTTTGCCGATATGTCCAAATGCATAGATTTTTTAAAAAAATTTCTTAAGAAATGGAACTCTCTTGCAGGGCCACCCTGGAAAACCAAAACGGCCACCAAAAGGGTCCCCAAGTAACTGTTGGGGGGCGTGGACACACTCAGCAATGCCGTGATCCGTTCCTTTCAGCTTGCACCTATGAAGCCACAAATACTAACGGCTCCAGGCAGAATTTGCTTCCTCTTCTTTTTTTTCTTTTAAACCCTTTCTCTTCTTTTGACCCCCGAGAGTCCAGTTCACAAGGCTCTCCAGGAAACAGTCTTACTATCTCCTAATTGCGGTCTTGTTAACATTTATATTTCATATCCAGTTATATTTCCTCTTTACTGAACAATATGAACTACTTTGTTGGGATGGAAAAATAGGAAAAGATGTTTATATAGAGGCGGGCAGAATGTAGAAGGGAAAGAAACAAGTTCTGAGTTTAGAGAATTAGAAATTGTATAAAAAGGGAAGGAAAATTTCAGTTAAAGTCAGGCCTCACAATTAGATCAGAAATTACGATTTTGTTACTAAAGCATAAGATGACTTAAAAGTACATAATGGAAAAGTTAATAGATGAGATTTCAATTTTAAACTACTGTACTTAAAAAGCAACGCATTTAAAAGGCTACCATATTTCAGCAACTGTCTACAAAGATCAATATTTATAACATGATACACAAAGGAATAAAACTTTAATGTAGAATGCATTCTTACAAACCAATAAGAAAAAGACCATCCCAATTGCAAGTGGCCAAAAGATATGAGTAAATAATTGCAAAAGAAGAAATACAAATGGCTAATAAGCACATGGGGAAAATATACAACTTTATTGGCAATGAAACCAATTTAGATTTAAAGCAATGAAGTTTGATATTTGTTTTGAAATTAGCAAAGCGTTTTTGAAAAGATAATACCTACCCTCAGTGAGGGGTCAGGTAAATGACCACCGTCATATTCTCATGAAAGTACAATTTAGGTCAGCCTGTCTGGAGGGCAGTTTGTTAAAAGCTTTTCAAAAGCATTTCCCTTTAGACCTCCCAATCTCACTTTATTCTGAAAGTATTTTGAGCATGTACAATATGCCCCAAGGTTTCTAGTTATTAAAAACTAAATTTCAGGTGCAAAGGACTAAGTCTATCGTAAAGAAATAATCAGATTACTGCACATTCATTTTTCAAGGGTGTTAATGAGTCGTTATTTATAACAGTGAATATTGAACACAAGTTAAATGTCCAACAGTAGGAATTTGGCTAAGCAAATTATTGCACATCCATGCAGTAAAACATTCTATAACCGTTAAATGAAGGAGTGAAGATGTGCACAATATATTGTGGTGTGAAAACGGCTGGTAACAGATGGAGATATACAGACTAATCCCAATGTTGTTTAAATATATAAATGAGTAAAAAAACATTCTAAAGTTCGATAACACCCAGCAAAAAAAGTATCACTTGATGGGTATTTTTTAAATATTATTTATACTTTCCTGACTACAGTAAACATTATCATTACAAGCATAAAAATATTTGAATTTATTAAAAATGGTTTCTCGAGAACAAGATGTGTGGATTTGCACATCGTAATTGGTCAGTGCAGCTCACCGGGAGAGAAGTCAAAAGCTCTTCGCTATTTAAGATGTTTAGTGTTGAATTTAATGAACACAAATACCAAGGATTTAAATCTAGTAAAAGCAAAGTCGTTTCTCAGCCTCAGTCCAAAAACCGTTTTACAGACAGTGTCATGTGTTTGCAGAGGCTCACACAGTGAAGTCGTCTCTTCGCCGATTTTACCTCTTCTGAGCAAATGCTGTCATTTGGTAAAGCCCCACAGCTGTTCCTGCAAGGACCCCCCAGGAACAATAACCTCGGGACGGGTGGAATCTTCCATAATGGGTGGAACGTTCCATCTCTTCTTTCCTATCTTGGTTTATGAGGTTGACCTTTTGCCTGATGTTTTTCTTGGAAGAAAAAACAATTTATCCCGAAAGAGACCTATATATATAAATCGGTGTATAGAGAGAAACCCAACAAAATTACCTCTTTACCAGCCTGTTACTCCCGACGTATCCAAAATATCATTGTAAAGAAGGTAAACTAGAAGCCTCGGAGTACTGTTTACTCTGATGTGGAAGACACCCACGATGCCCTTTCTCGTTGCTTTCTTGGTTCCTTTGTTATAGAGGAGCTCTGGGCTGGCAGGAAGGAGGGGTGACTGAGGGTGGCTGTGTATTTCTACTCTCAGGCTTAGTGTGCATTTTGGATGACGTGTGCCATGACCCTATCGTGATGTGTGGTTGTTGTTCTTTCCACAGAATGTCGAGTGGTGAAGTCCACTTCTTACACCAAAATAGCTTCGTCCTCCCGCAGGAGCACCACCAAGAGCCCAGGACCTTCCAGGCGCAGCAAGTCCCCTGCATCGACTAGCTCAGGTAAGGCAAGCAGCACAGGAGGCTTTGAAGAAACTGCCTTGTTTCTGATGGTGACGAGCAGAGGGTGTGAGGGTTTAAGAGAGTACAGATTCCAGTTTATAATTTTAGAACATTTTAGAGTGCTGGAACAGATTTGCCAGTGTCTAACATGTTGGCTGTAAGAAAAAACATCGAACTTGGGAAAACTAACTTAGCGAAGACTCAGGAAACCCAGATTTGCCCACAGATAGATGCATACTCTCCATTTGCATAATTTCTGCCACAAAAATTAATTTTTCAGGCAAAGGGCCTCCAATTCCAGAAGTCTCTGTGAAAGTATTTATTCCACCTGCTACTGTTTATGAAGAGTTTCCAGTTTGTATTTGCTGAATCTTAGTTTAACGCTGGCCCCCATCATGGCAGTGAGAGTAATGGCCGGGAGCAGGCACCGCTGCAGTGACTCAGCCTGTGTCCTGTCACTCGTGGGCTCCAGTGCTGGTGTTGGAACAGGATGTGTACTCACAGTTTGAGCATCTCGGCCTTTTCCTTCTTTGGTCTTAAAACTGACATAAGTCAGTTGGTTGCTTTTGTTTTTGTGTTTGGTTTGGTTTGGTCTTCGGTGTAAGGTCTACTTCACTATCAAAGGGAATTATTTATTAAATGATATAAACGTCAAGGTGATAATCACTTGATTTCATGAAGACGGAGAAGCTCTTAAGGGCAAAGACCTGTAGGGTCTCTACAGAGGTCTCTTTATACTCGACAGCATGGGCCCCGAAGGATGAACGACAAGGCCCGCCTCTGGCGTCACTCACCAGCTGTCATACCACTGTGTACGTTACAACCTCCACATTTGAAAATGGAGGTGCTGCAGTCTGTGTTTCCTAATAAACAGCAAAACTGAACCCTCCAAAGTGCGTGTTGGAAGAAGAAACTATGAGTAGGCTGGAGAGCTAGAGCACCCAGCCCTTCTCAGTTCCCTAAGAGTCACCTCCTCTTGGGGCGCTACTGCTTATGACCATTCTCTAGACAGGTGTCCAAAGACCTTCTTTTCCTTTGATGTTCACTCTAATGGTGGCAACAGTGGGCTGTCAATGTCCCCTTCTCACAGTATGGCCTACATCATAACCAGCCAGGGGATAATTCTCAGAACGCGGCTGGCGCTTGAGATGCAGCTTGTTCACCCTCCTGGTTTAAGAGTGGGCTGACAGCCCCTCCCTTAATATGACACCACTCACCCAGATTGGATGAACACTAAAATGAGACTTTGCAAAAGGGTAAGGTGGTAAGACTCAATGTTTAGACTACACAAACATGGCTTGGGAACTCGGTAGAGTTTGTCATCCTGATCGCCCTGCTCAGATTCTGACTCAGGCCATAAACCTCTGTTTTAGCAAGTGTTCTAGGTGATTCTAATCACATAGTCTGTGGCCCATAGGCCGAGAAACAGTCGGTTAAGGAAGTGGTTCCCAAAGTGTGATCTCCTGGACCAGCAGTATCACCATCACCTGAGTACTCGTTGGAGATGCGAAGTCTTGAGCCCCTCCCCAGACCCACTGAATCAGAAACTCTGGACTTGGGGGCTCAACAACTTGGGTTTTCCAAAGTGCTCCAGGTGATTCTGACGCTCACCCAAGTTTGAGAACCACTGAATTACAACAACAGAAGGGAAATAAATGCAGGAAGTCATTAGACTCTGGATTAATATATGGTAAAAGATATGGCCTGCTCATTTTCATTTATTGGCATGATGGACATGACTTCCCTTCTACCTCCCCTCTTGCTTCTGAGTGACAATGTCAATCTGTAACCCTTGCAACCCAAGGGCAGACCTTTAGATCACGTGACATGTAGATCAAGAGAACAGTGAACAAAAGGGAGTGGCCGATGGCAGCTACCTTTTCTACCTCCTCACCATGGCCAGTCTTTAGAGAACCGATCACCTGAGAGAAGAAAGAATTTCTGTCCGAAGATCACCCCTTCCCTAAAAACGGATCTTGGGGCAATTCTCTCCCTTCAAGAGACACACCACCTATACCCACATCTCTGGGCCACCACAAAATGAGAGTGATGCGGAACTGTACGTGTACAACTCCCCTGGAAGACCTTAGCTTGTTCATTAAGCTGCTGACAGGTGAAAACCGAGCTCTTTGGAGAATATTCAGCCTTAATCAATGGCCGTTTCTCATTTTCTGAGCAAACCTGGCCTGTAGGGTGAACTCCCATGGGGCAGTAAGAAAGAGGCCATGAGCTTAGCCAGCCTGTTGCCCCTAGAACTTGGCTATTTAGGGCAATCACAAAAGGATGTGAAGGAGAAAGGAGCCCCACGTTAACTGGAACATTATCAATACGACTAAAAAACATCAATGTTAAAAACAAAAATGGTTCCCAGTCCAAGTCAGCTCTGACATCGACAGAGTTTACTTAACCTTTCTTTTCTTCTTCCTCTTAGTGTATATACCATGAATTTTTAAATATTAGGTATAGTGGTGGGAGGGACATTTAATAATGAGTAGTTAGCCAAATTCTTATGGCTTTTACCGTCCAGATATTTCAAGAGACTCAGTACTCACTATGACCATCAACTTTTTGTTGTTATTTTTAACAGGTTTCATTTTTAAGAGCTGTAGGAAGATAGATACTCTGGGGTTTGAGTGGAAGTTTCTTTCCTTTTTTTTCCTTTTGTTCCCATAAGTCGAGGAAGGTAGGGGACAGGTCAGATTATTGTGTACATGTCGGAGAATGGGATCATGAGCCCTGGAGTAGGTACTGTCTGCTGCTAAGGTTTTCCACTGGATGCAAGAAAAAAATGTCTGCACACTTTCTGTCTGTGAATGTGGCAGCTGAGATTGAGTGGGGTGATACAGGAGGAAAACATGGAGAGAGGATTTTTGCAACTCAGAAATTACCTTGTAAAAAGTGAAGAGACTGCTTTACTCCAAAAAAAAGAATCTAAAATATGAGTTAAAATAGAAAGAATCATGAATCCAATCTTAAAAAGATTAAAAACTGAACTCATTAAAAAATGAATACAGGAGATTATTTCACTTTAGAAGTAACTGGGAACATAGTCACTCTTCAGTATCTCTAAGATTATATAAATTTTATAAATATAATTATAATCTTATAAATATAGATGAATATATCATTTACCAAAAGTAATTTCAGAAACTCAGAAAAGCAGATAGGCAAATGTATTCAATGTATTTGTATTCGTTACTGCCAACATTTGAAATATTACTTTTAGAAGTTTCAAATGAATAGGACACATTACCTCACGATCAATACCCTGCTTCAAACAAGCATTTCTGTTTTCGGTGGTTTCCCTGATGCCCTTTTCAACTCCAGTTAAAACCTGATCGATTTGACCAGCACAGACTTGGAATTTGGGATAGGTATGCCATGCCGGGTAGTATCATTTCCATGAAGGAAGTGGAATCCAAATTCATTCAAAATCAGTATGTTCTTGAAAAGTTAACACTTCTTTCAAGGTGTTGTTAAATGCTAGTTCAAAATTAATCGAATGGCACTGATCATGTTCTATTTGATATGAGTCTTTTATGCAAATAAATTTTTCAACTTCTTACGTTTTGATCTAGAAGATATGCGATACAGCCATTTCCTGGTTATGTAACAGTTTATAATATACAATGACCTTCTCTTGAGTCTGACTTGCCACCAAAGCTTACCACCTTTCTCTGGATAATTCTAATTTAGAGAGGGTTTACAGAGCAGCAGTACGCAGTCACAAATGCATGGATTATGCCAGTGGCCCCAAGACCACTTCCTTTCCCTGAGACCTAAGCCCAGGGTTCGAGAAGGTCTAATGGTATTCCCATTCCTTCTCAGGGCGAGTGTGGCTGCTGGATGTCAGGGGACCCTCTGCCTTGGGTCCCTCCACTGAGCTAGCCGCAGACTCTTGTCTCTACTCAAGTGTGGCTCTTACATCCAATGGGAAGGAGCAATGAATTAGCTCTATATCGATTGCATCACCATTCCATTTCATTGCATAACCTGTTCATTGTTTCTCATAAATCATAAGATTGGGATGTGAATCATTTTACTTCCGTACCTCTTAAGCATCGATGTTGCTCCAAATCTCGATCGCCACTATGAACCTGACTTTTTCACATTAAAGAATCTTTGTTTTTCCTCCTAAAATATTAACTTAAAGTTTGAAATGATTTCTACTTCAATTTCTCAATTCTACTTCCATATCTTCTTCCTACGTTACACAGAGATTAAAGCATAGTATAAAGTTAAGATTTGCTCAGTTTTTATGCCATGCTGCTATTGTTAACTTATATTTAAATGAAAAATCAGGACTTTTATCTCTTTGATCCTTTTTCCCAATGGTCTCCCAACAAGTAACATGATATTATTATTTGTTATATAATAATATTGTTATTATATAACAAATAATTAATCCTTTTTCCCAATGGTCTCACAACAAGTAACACGATATTATTATTTGTTATATAATAATATAGCCCGTTCTAGAAATGAGGAAGCAGAGGCAGGGCTAGGGGAACTGTTCGGCCTGGAGCCACAGAGATGACAGTGGCAGCTCAGGGCTGGTGCCTGGGCTTCCAGTGCTCCAGACACAGCAGGCTGGCAGTCCTTGATACCTTTTTCTTCACCTTTGCTTATTAAACTTTGACCTCCAGGAAGTAACTGATACAGCACCTGGTTTAAGATTGCAATTTACACCATCATAACATTTTGCAACAGATGCCTAAGTACTAGTCCTGATACTGGCGTTGCTGAAGATGAAATGGTTCACCCCACCTTCATGATATATGCCAGCGGTAGAACTAGAATGAGAATCTTCTATGGACAAATCTTCTCTTTGTCCCGTAGCCATTCCTGTTCTTGGCACTAAAAGAAGTAAAGAGGTGATTTATTAATGTAAGGTGTTCATTTACACATTACAAGCACAGGTCTGCCCGTGTCAGACATTTGCTAGGCGCTAACAATGCCAAGATGAAAGAAACAGACTCTACTCTCAAGAAGCATACGGG